TCACAAAACAACCAAAAACATCATATCATAGTGATATATACGTACCTATGTTTATAGCAGCACAATTTGTGATAACCAAATTAGAAAACAACCAAACTGCCTGTCACCTGAGGAATGGATAAAAAAGATGTGGTATTTTTATATAATGGAGTATTACTCAGCTATAAGGAAAAACAAACTCAAAGCCTTAGTATATAAGTGGATGCGACTGAAGATATACTCATAAGTGAAATAAACCAGACCCACATGCATAAATATCTTATAGTATTCCTTGTGTAAGTACTCAAAATAAGAAATAAAAATTGAAAGGTATAACACAATTAAATGGAAAACTAGAACTTAAGGATTAAACAACAAAGATAGAAGAAGGAGAAAAGTTAGGAAACATAGCAGGGGCAAAACCATACACATATATAAACAAGATAGTTAAGGCAATGGTCCTAAGTATCTCCATCAGGTTTTTGAAACTAGCAGTTAATTGGTAGAGTTCTCACACTGACTATATATACTGATATCTGTGAACCAAGCAACTACACTGAGGATAGCAATTTCAGGACAGGAATTCCAAGCAAAACTATGCTTTGAATACCTGTCATTCTTGTCTTCTAAATGCATACTGCTTCTAATGTCATACCAATTTTTGCTATACTCTCTCAAGTTAATATTTGTTTAAGAAAAAATTAATAAAAGAAAATGCGACAAGAAAAAAATGTCATAGAATTATCTTGCTATAATATTGCACATGGTCAGATTTCTAACTTTCTGTGTAAAAACGTGTAATTTTTTTCACATTCTATAAGGATTTAAAGTTTATAATATCAATATTTATTGGAAAATACCTGTCCCATGTTAAGTCTAAGGCATTTGACATTCAGACAGTGATGTTAAGCTCAACTGCCTGTGTTATAGAGTAATAATATCATTAAGCTTCTCTTCTGGATAGATAACAATTTAAGTATGTGGACAAAAAATAGAGGAAAAAGAAGGGCTACAAGTGTAGCCAATATTTTGGCCGAAGTCCTTCAAGGTCAGTGAGGAGTCAGGACATAAAAGAGCCTGTACTATAACATCCTATAACTCAGTG